AACTCGTATTTAAATTGTGGTCCCTTGCAAATACGAGTTATTGAAGTTTCACTGTACTTAAATCTCATCGCACCTCTAAATCGACCGGACCATTTCCCGAACTTAAAAACCTAACATAATATGGACAAATTAATATAAAGATATTTCGATTTAATATATCAGATGGGCTAAATTGAGTTGRAAAAATAAAATTAAAATCCTAGTCAACCATTATACATATGTGTACCATATTTAAGCACTTCGTCATCCCCTCAACTCATCGCTACTTTCGAGTATTCATTTTGTTTTTCCTCTGTAAATACTTCAGTTTTCTATACACCCTAGTTGAGATTAGGACGCGTAAGGTAGTGAGTGTACACGCCATAATCTCAATAACATTCCCTAAATATATGTATGCTCTTCCCTAAACAATAACAACAATAATGCTCTCCTCAATTAACAATATTCCGCAGTCAATTCGGTCTCTACATACGCTTGTACTATATATTTACTAATACATTTCACTAATTTGCACTATTTCAGGACTACAATTCAATATACAATACAAATTCAATATACCGTTAAATACATAACTACATACACACCATACATATGTATTTATGCATACATGTATGTGCCTACAACCTACAACAATACAAGRAATTCATACCACAATGTAAGTCACAATTTTATTTTCCAGATCTTTACAATACACATCTAAACAACAATAACAACGACACATTTTCATGACTTTACTTTAAGAYATACGTAACTGATTTCTTCTTATGAATATTTTTTGTGGCTTAATTCTGCTGTACCGATCTGCCGTTATACGTTACACCGACATACATATGTTTAAAATATTCTGTTTCTCTCCAAGTAGTAGCACCGTGTTTTTTGTTTTCTTACACATGTACATCAACATTACTTAATTTACATACATTAGTACATATTTGACATCCATTAACTCCATTTACAAAGTCCTACTTACAAGAACATATTTCAAAAATATTTCCCGAGTACTACGAGTATGTGTACTCATAACAATGAACTAACGTTAACTTTGAGCATAAATAAGTAACTCTCTGCTGATATATAAGTACATACTATATGTAGCACTGATGTAGTTATATAATATAAAAATATCATTGATTTTTTTGGTTCAAATCCAAACTTTAACAAACGATTTAATGGCTTATGGAATTTTGCGGACTCGAATCGGATTTCTGACACTTAATTGGGATAAAACGGTAGTTATGTTGACTTGGCTGAAACTAATCAGCAAGTGACGTAGACCGAAATTAAGTTTTTCTAGTATGAGACTTGATTTCATAATTCTAGTTTTTAAAATAAAAATTAAAATTTATAAATCCTGCACCATTTAACTGCTATAGAATCTGTTAAAGTCGAAATCTTATGTGATTTCTGCAAGTGAACTGCCGAAAGTTTACGTATTTTGTCCGGTACACATTATTACTGAGTTTATCTTTGTTAAAAGATGTACATATAGCCGATAACTGGATAGATGAACATGCGTTGAATGAGATTGGCTCTGTGAAGTCGCATAAATGCTTATAAGCCTCCTTGATTTACATATCTCTTCAATTGTCTACGAATTATTTGATGCCTACAGGGTTTAAGTTCTCATTATTCTTGCTTATTGCACTATGAAAATTAATTGTGGACTTTCTCATTCATGGAATTTCTTCCCCAACGCGCACGTCTCTAAATTAAGTTTAACTTACAGCGTAATTTYAGAAAACGGTATGAACACAGTATTTTTACCTCTAATAAAAATTGTTATTTTTACTTTCTTAGGAAACCCTTATTTTACTGCTATCAAACTTTTCGGAATGACTGCAACGAATGAAGTTGTTTTGAAGTGATTATTGATTAACATCAAAGTCGATGGGCTCGCAAATCCCATAAAGATTGGAACAGGCCTGCGATTTCTTGTCCACTTTTTTTTCTGGCATTAGAGCAATGAACCCCAAGCCCAATCTCTATCTTACACTAGACTTATGTTGAAATAACTTGGTAGCTGCAACCATAGCGAACAAGTTGGCCAGTTCACGAGGAATTGATATTAGCAGGTCTCAACAAATTTGTGACAGGCTCAAAGGGCTTTGTTTGTAAAAAGATTTACTGGGGTTCTACAAAATCAGWAGTTGGTGACATCACTAAGGACTGGCGTACTAGTTGTCCAAGTTGGTTGTCTCATAATTTATGTCCCGCTATAGTGGGATATATAACCACTTATCCGGCTTAAGGGGTTAGGGGTAGTCAAAATTTTGAAACATTATTTTTTCATTTTCGTTAAGAATAATATCTTAAAAATATTMTCTGAAAATTTCACGYTGATCCGATAATTAGTTAGTTAGAGTTATTCGACAAATATGTAACAAAGAGAGCTCGGGCACTTCAAAGCGCTAGTGTGAAACTTTAAGGGGTTAGGTGGGTTTCAGAGGTACTAAAAAAGGTATTTTTACGATTTTTAATCATATATTTGAAAAATATAATATGTTATATCAAAGGTATATATTCGAACAATATCTCCGGAAATTTCGATACAAAAATGTTGAAAATTCCGCTGTTGAGACCGCATTTCCCTGGGTGTCTCTCAAAAAGTGCTCTCGCCGTGGACAGCATAACTTATTATTGGTTCATATAAAATTAAAAAACTAATATTCTCTTAGTACATATCTAAATCTCGTTTTTGAACGTAGGAAATAAAAAAAAAATTAAAATTGTCCTTCTTTTCTCGAACTTTGAACAAAAAATCTCATTTTTGGTAAAATTTTCGGCATTTTTTGGTCAGAAAAATAAGTTGTAATGAAAAAAGAAAAAATTCTTCGTTCAATAACTAGATAATATTATATCAAAATTGTGTACACAATACGACTAAATCGGTCGATAACTTTTCTAGAATTGTGTCCACCGACTTAAAAAACACAGTTTCGAGCGCAGCTAGCCTTGAGTGCACAAGTTCTCAAGGCTGTATCCCCGAAATTATTGCTCAGATCAACTTTAAAATTTAGGACTATATTCTAGAGTTATTGTAGAATTTAATAAAGAAAACAAAAAAAATCGATTTTTGAAAATTTTCAAACCCACCTAACCCCCTAAACGCGTTTCTCAAAACTATGTTTTTTGAACTAGTGACAACTGTAACTCGAAAACCGCTTAGTAAATTTTAATGAAATTTATACAGCTTTTAGAATATATAATAAACACGGGCCTGATGGAAGGATTTTTTGTTTTTCAAAAATTTCAATTTTTTAAGACCAAATATCTGTTGATTTTTTCCCAAAAATTTAGTCAAAAATTTCCTGAGGCCACCATTTTGTTAATTTTTGGAAAAAAAATTCTTCGATCAAGCCCGAGTTTATTTATTCATAAACTATTTTTTTGTCCGATTGATTTTAGATGAATCTCCAAGGGCTKAAAGTTGTCACCGCAAGTACCTTTTTTTGGAACTGGGTCAACACAAACAATTATAACTTTGGAAATTAAATTTTTATTTTTTTTTTGAATTTTTCGTGACTTGAAGTCAACACATTCTATAATAATGCCATATTACTACTTTTGTAAAATAACACGATTTAATAGCAAAATACTGAAAATTCTCCTAACCCCTTAAGGCTGGACATTCGCATGTATAATGTTCCATCGTCTCATCATTCTTAGTACATGCTTTGCATTTCGTCGAAATCACTTTTAGAATTTGCTGGGATCTTAAGAATATGTGCTCTGTGATGAATTAATTTAGAATTAGAAATTTTTAGGTTTGTCTACCATCAACACTATGCCAAAGAAACTTGATGAATAGCATATTCTGCAGTAGCATTCAAAGACCTTAGGTGTATCTCTAGGGGTACATTTTATGTTAGTCTAAAAGATGCAGTGAATAGAAAAAATTMGACATATTTAAATTTCGTATATTTTGAGTCGAAATCGAGAAGGAGAGGAGTTTAATGGGAATTAATTTAACGAATTCGTTACAATTTGCCAAAGGATCTTTTTATAGTATGGTTTTTATACGAAAATTTTCTTGAAGTTTTTGAATTTGAAGTTTTGATATTGTTGAGGAACGAACACAATACATTTTGTTTATGCTGACTGCGTATTTAATACTGCGAAATGGTTTTTATTAATTAAAATGTATGAACTATAAACATAATCTATAATTTTCCATAATTTGTAATCCTCGATTTCCAAAACTATTGCAAATTTTATGAAATCATAACTGGGTAGAAGTAAAATATACATGGAAAAATCGTCWAATTTTAATTTTATAAAAATTTCTTCTGCATATGGTACTCTTTGCGAGCTTCTCTTTCGGTTTGGCAATACTTTCCCGTTTTCTTATGGCAACTGAAATTGTTTTGTTTTCTAAGTTTCACTTAAAAATACGTATATGTATTTTGTAGTAATTGCTGCACCTGAACTTAGATCTTGTGTGGGGTTTAGTTTAATATTTATTTTTGTTGTCACTAAATTACTGTTACTTTTCTCTAATAGTTAGGTTAGGTTGAACGTTGCGTTTTGAACGTTTTAATTTGTTCCTTAGAAATATTATTTTCTTACTAAATATCTGTATATGTGTATGTTAGAATGCAATGTAGATATATTTGTTGTTTTGATTAGAAACAGTTTTYGGTGAGTGTACATACAAATGTACTTATCTAATATACGCAATTTTTCAAAATTCATCTTAGCTACAGACGTTCTGGAGAACGTTTGCTGCCATTTTGTATCAACTAGTCATTAGTATGCGCTTATATACTTACTTCGTTAATCCAGTGTGTTATGTATGTATGWATGTTTGGTTTCTAATTTTATAATTACGCCTGTGGATTGAGCGGGTGTTATGACTAAAGTAATTGTTTTTCTTTTGCTTACAATTATTTTTTGCTGACATTACTTGTGGTGGTGGTGTTTGTAGATTTTGTTGTAGTTGTGGTGGAGGCGATGCTGCCAACCGCAGAAGCAATTACTGATTTGGCTGCAATTGTGACKTTTGGAACAGCAGCGATACTTGCAGATTGTGTTGTTGTTGCTATGTTGGCGCTCACACTTTTAGTCGGCACCGCTGTTGATGATGTTGATGTTGTTGTTTTGTTTATTGCCGCCGRCGTTTTAGTTATAGACGCTTTCGTACCGCTTGCTGTCGTTGTGGTTGTGGCGGCAACTGCAGTCATTGTTGGAAATTTGTCATCAGCTGTTGGCAACACCGTGGGCTTTTGAATAGCCGCAGTGATCGGACTTGTTGTTGTATTGATCACTTTGGTGGCAGCAATTTTTGCTGGCTGTGCAGCAGGCATCAGTGCAATAACGACATTGGCGTTCCCCGACGGGTGGCTAACAGCATTCGGCTTCGTAGTTGTTGTTGTTGCAGTTGTGGACGCTGTTGTCAATTGCTTGGGCATAACATTTGCTGTTGTTGTAGCTAAATTTGTGCTGTTAATTATTGTTGTTGTGGTTGGGGCGGCAGCAATGGCTGACACTTTGGCAGTTGTTGTTGTTGTTATGATTGGTGGTTTATTCGTTTGCGCAACAGGTGTTTTTGATTTTGTAGTTGATGTTGTTATTGTTGTTGCAACTATTGTTGGTGAAGCTATAGGCTTACTGTCTGTGAGCGCCTTAGCGCCTATGCTTATGCTTGCTGTTGTTGTGGTTTTTGGAACCGTTGCAGCTGCTGCTGACGCGACACCGCTGCTTTTAATTGCAGCCGTTGGTGCTGTAGGTGTTGTAATTGCTTTTGTAGTTGTAATTGTAGGTTTTGTTGTTGTTATTGTTTTTTGTGTCGTGGTTGCGGTTGGTTTAACAACAGCTGCTGCTGCTGGCTTCACGGCGGCTACTGTAGTCGCTTTTGCAGCACTTTCAGCTGTTGTTGTAGTGGTTGCTGCAACAATCGGCGTCTTAACGGATACTGCAACAGTTGTTGCTGTTGGTGTTTGTGTAACAGTCAATTTGGCCTTAGCAATTGTTGCTGTTGCAGCCGTGCTGGTAGTCGTTGTTGTCGACTTTCCAGCTAACGTCGATTTGACTGTTGTTGTAGCAATTGTCGCAGGTGTTGTAGTTATAGTTGTATGTTTCAATTCTAATGTTGCCGGTTTTGTTGCTGCGGTGCTTGCGGGCTGCACATTTATTGCCAATGCATTTGTTGTTGTAGTCACCTGTGACACACTACTTACAGTGGCCGGCTTAATGCCAGCAGTTAGTGGCTTTGAAGTCAGGCCGGCTGTAACGGATTTTGTTGTYGTTGCTCCGCTTACTGTTTCCGCCCCCGGCACAATACCACGCTCCCCGAACGTGGTGAGCATACGTTCGCGACCGCTGCTCATTGTGCCAGCGACAAGCACCTTTGTTGTTGCAGTGCTTGTGGCGACAGTGGCAGCGGTTGTTGTTATTGCCGCCTTCGTGGGCAATATAATACTGGCAGTTACTTTCGTAATTTTATCACCTACCTCGGCGGGATGACCGTTTGCTTGCGTTTTACGCTGCGCCAATGCAGCCGCCTCATTCAGGAACGAGCCGACGCTATCGTTGGCACGCAACTCGGCCTCTATTAGCGGCTGACGGCTAGGGCTCGCCTCAGGCTGAGATTGCCCTTTGTTGCGACCATTGCTGGCCACTTGGTTACTCTTTGAGCCCTTCAATATACTCGGGCCGGGTAGCTTCGCGGTTGCCGCCGAGTTGGATGTTTTGATAGCCACAGCCGCACCATATTCGGGATGCTGGAAGTGGTATAAAACATATGTAGGCAATTATTTAAGTTCATTGATAAATTGAAAATTTAAATTGTTAACTTACACTGCCATTCCTAATCGATGTAGTTGTACCGCCACCTCCACCATTAGCCCCGTTGCCAGCGCCATTACCACTCATTCGCAGACCAATACCCTCATCGACGTGATCACTCATGCGCACAACAGCAGTGGATGTTTTTGTTGCTACCGCTGCTGACGATGCGCTCACTCGCTCTCAGAGTTGCATCGCTTCATCACGATAACCATTGCTGTTGTCCTCATAGGGTGACACATCAGTTGGCATGCCATTTATGAGTACTTGCGTATTGGCCACGACATCGTAATTTTGACTGTCGTAGCGCTCGGCGTGTAAATTGACACATGGCCTACCGGCTGGCCCCCACTCGGCGGTAGGACGTAGTAGAAGTTTTAGCCGCTCTTTGAATGTYAATTGCTTGGGTGCTTTACAAATTTGTTGGAAGGCGATTAAGAATATAAATAGTACCGGCAACAGCCCGATAAACCAACCGACTGCATCAGCCCACAGTGGATAAACATAATGACCATAGGAGGCCGGTTTGTATTCGACCCAGTTGAAGAACAGAATAAACTGAAATATGAAATAAGTATGAAGCAGCAGTTTAGTAGGAAGTATCATTGTTTTAATTTCCCACCCGAGAAGCTTAAGTAAAACCCTTCCCATGCTCCTATTACTTACCAATAGTGTTGCGGGCGTTATGTAACGCCACATTGCCGACCAAAATGAGTTCCAGAATTTCGATCTTTTACCAATCATACCCTGTATGTCGTTCAAGAAACGTTGTGACCCATATATCCAAGCGATTAAAACACACTCGGAAATGGCGATAAGCAATACCGACCAATTCGCAGCATACTTATCCATTAGTTGTAACCAATACATGCCACTCTGCAAAGAAAACGTCAGTATAAAGTAAAATTATACAAGGTTGTTTTTTACATACATTCGTAGTAAAACCGAGACCACCGAGGTAACCAAAAATACCAACAAAAAGCACAACCCATGTTTTGTATTGTCGTAAATTGGGAAATTTATCCAATATGGCAGTTGTAACGGTCTCCATGAGTGCGAACTGCACATAGTATGTAATAAAAGTAAAGTGAGAGAAAGAAAGAGAGAGAGAGATAGAGACAGATACATAAAAAAGGAATGAAGGAAAATACAAACAGTGAAACTTGGTTTTGCTTTTCTGAATGGCAAAATCTCACCTGTGAGTCCAGTCCCAATGTAAGTAACATAACAAAAAATAGTACCGACCAAACGGGTGAAACCGGGAGGCGTGTCACAACTTCTGGATAGACTATAAATGCCAGACCAGCACCCTGATCAACTACCTTTTTTACTTCCACTTCTAGCTCGTGTGCTAGAAAACCGATGATCGAGAAGATAACTAAACCGGCAAAAAATGAGGTCGCTATATTGCAAATGGCGACGATTAAAGAGTCTCTGCAAGTTTTGGATATAAATAAAAACGTCAATAAAGAAAATCAGGTCTTCTTAAATTAACGAGAACTAACTTATAACAATTGTTCGAGAACTTGTTGTACGAAGACAGTGTTATGAGACCACCCCAAGCAGGACTGAGCGCAAAGAATATCTGTACCGCGGCATCGCCCCAGACCTAAATAAACGTGATGATTAACGATTAGTGTTAGTTTTAAAAAATTCTAGGTATTAACTAGTTTGGAAATACTGCGGCTTGAGACCTACCTGTGCATTGGCTAGTTGTTTAAAATCAGGTGTTAAATAAAACAATATGCCTGTCATAGCGCCCGGTAATGTCACACCTCTGAAGAACAGTATAACTAACACAACATAAGGAAAGAGCGCGGTAAAGTATACTACTTTGCCGGAAGATTGTACGCCTTTGCAGAGACACAGAAATACAATAGCCCAAGCGACAAATAGACAGGCAGCTAACTCCAATTTTATGCCGCCGGTTTCTTCAATGCCAGAAGATAAGCCCAACACATGGTTACTGAAAAGATAATGAATAGAAATAAATGCAATTAATTTTGAAAATCTATCGAGTTATTTTGGCTTAAAACTTACGTAAAATACTCCTCAGCTGGTGGTCGCTTTAGTGCATGTAGCGCTAATTCGGTGATATTATGCTCCTCGGCATAGCTAATGTTATAGCATGTTCTCAAGTAGAAAGTGCCATTCACGGCATCGCATTGATCGGCCATTTCGTAAGAGAAACAGTCTGAAGAGATATAAAGCAAATTACAAGTTATAAGTAGTATATATATATATATATATATATTTAGACTATCGAAAAATGTTTCCTATATTCGAATATAATTTTAATCGACGGATCTTAAAAGTTTTGATGGTAATTCGACACTGCAGCGGTCTGTTAGTCGGAGGACGATTTTGATATCTAAAAGACACCACCGCCAACTTGATTATCTAGTTACCTCTGTGCCCTTGTCCACCTCACCTCTTTTCCACTCTTCTCTGGAAGGAAAGGCAATATTGTGGAACGTCGGAGACCCTACAAAGTATAAGTGTTAACGGTCAGAGTGATGGGTTGAGTTGATTTAGCTATGTCCATGTACAAACTGATCGATCAATCACAAGATCTTGTATGGAAAACCTTATTACTTGACAAATTATCTTCTCGAAATTTGCGATGTATTATTGTCCGAGGCAACGCTAATATAAGAAATATATTTTTTAGCTGGTATTCAGACTGGCTTATCAAAATCATGATAAAGGTTTTTTTATACGCTTTTATGCCATAAGAAATCTTTGTGCAAAATGATATTATAGCTTAAGTGCCGCTGAAGTTAAGTTTTCCTTTTTTGTTATTATTATTCTAGAAAAAACACTAATTTCATGTTGCCACTTAGCTCTACATTAAATTTAATAATTCTCATTTTATTTTAAATTTGCATTTGTTTGTCTTTTTTATACATACATGTGTCAATACCTKCAAACTTATGTTCGAATATATGCATAATTACGGGGTACCGTACATGTTTTAATACATCCGAATATACAAATCGTTTTATACGCTCAGAGACGCCAACGGAACACTCAACGGTATTGTTTTCAATTCCCAACATCATTAGAGGCACAAATACATTTTTTTATTTGTTTCTTACTGCAAATGTTATATGAATACCGAGGCGTGAGAAATGGTCTTCAGAGCTTAAAATAAATGAAATAAAAGCCTTTGTGGGTGTATGTATAAATGAATTTAAAGCATACCTAGATTTTGGAAAAATATTTACATATGATATAAATTASGCGCATCTCCGTAAAATTGTTAAGAATGGAACACACGTCTATGGTATGCTAGAAAAAGCATTAAGAGAAAAGACCACGTACTAACAGTGTAAAATTTTCAGTTTAAGACAGTGTTTTCAACATACATTGGGTGTCGCCGACGTAATCCTTTTTCTGAACTTCTTTTCACATATCAAATATAAATTTTAAGATCATAAWAACTGCTCGGAGGTTATCATGGATGAAAAAATAGCATAAAACCTATAGACTATGGAGTCTGCTTAAAACTCTTATAAGAGTTTCGCTACCGGTTCAAATCAAGTCCTACACAACATAAATAACCAAGAAGTTGTACACTCTTATAAAGTCGTTAGTTCTGCTTTCTCCAGACTGAATAAGGAAGAGCTTATGGGTCTGGTAGTGAACGAGGACAAGACGAAATATCTCCAAATCTTCAAAYAAACAGTTGTCACACTCGCGATTAGGCTTCCATGTCACTGTTGACAGTCATAACTTCGAAGTTGTAGAAATTATTGAAACCAGTATTAATACCAACAACTATGACAGCTTCAAAATCCAACGCAGAATAACTCTTGCCAACAGATGCTACTTTGGACTCAGTGTGCAATTGAGAAGAAGAGTCCTCTCTCGACGAACGAAAACCAAACTCTATAAGTTACTCATACTTCCCGTCCTACTATATGGCGCAGAGGCATTGAGGATGACAACATCTAATGAGTCAWCGTTACGAGTTTTCAAGAGAAAAGTTCTGCGAAAGATTTATGGTCCTTTGCGCATTTGCAACGGCGAATATCGCATTCTGTGGAACGATTAGCTGTATGAGATATACGATGACATTGATATAGTTCAACGAATTAAAATACGTTGGYTACGTCATGTCGTCCAGCTCTGAAAGTATTCAACATAACACTCACCGGGGAAAGCAGAGAAAGAGGTCCACTCCATTGAAAAGACCTGGCTTCGCTTGGAATCTCCAATTGGCGCCAAGTAGCCAAAAGACTGGCGAAAAAGGATTCTTCTAAGAAGGCAAAACGACGCAGACTTAACCTAAACTTTTCGAATTGAAATAAGTTAGSGAACTTCAGTATAAGCCTGATTTGAAACTTTGAGAACGTTAGTTCGTTTAGAAGCTATTGAACATGTGGTATCAAAAATATTTCATCATTTTGGAAGGGTTCTGTCTCAAATCCATTTATACTTTTTCACACTGGKTTGGAGTGTATACGCACATAAATACTTATATACAGATACGCTAACATAAATTACTCAATATGCTCACTTTCAAGTCTTTACAGATTTTCTTAACATTCAACCCTAATAATAATTTTCCACATCATCTGCTCATTTTCTATGGCGGTCAAWTCATTTTTCTCAATCTTTTATTCATTTGCTTTGAGTGGTAGTCTTGTTTTCATCCTTTTTTATTACCTCCCCCCTGCTTATTTTTGACCGCATAGCCAGTCCTTGAAGTTTGCACATTTTCTTCTTGTTCACCTAACCGATTTGCCTTTCGCTCGCTCATTACCAGTAGGCAGTTTGCCTTTTCTAAGCTTTAAGCATAATGGGTTCTTCTCTTAAGTTTGCTTGTTGGTTGACGGGTTTTGCCCTTCCGCTGTTTTTATTCCATTTTTTCATTGCTTTTTTGTTCTGAAAATGCGTATTTTTAATGTTGCTCTTAACTCATCTAATTATTTCTTGGCATTTTCTTCGGCTTTTAAATTTCGTCAAGATTTTGTACACTAGGGTCAATTCTCCACAATTTTTTTGTTAGTTTTTTTTTAACCCGAAAATAATATAAAAGAAATCTTCACAGGAACTAAAAACTACTCATAAATTATTGTGTTAGTTGAATCGCAGGCCACTTGCTGGCAATAGTGCTGGAATCAAGACGAGGTGAAKTGTCAATTTAGTGCTTTGAACTTGTCAAAGATATTGCCGAAGTCCAAAAAGAAAGTGGTATAACTATTTAAAAGGTTGCTTTAATGTTTCTTAAGAAAATTTTAAATGATGAACTGGAAGTATTTTTCGTTGCATATAAATTGACGTTGCAAAATTATATTACAAAATAAGTCGTTTTTTCATCGTGTTGTAACTGGTTAAAAAAAGTGGATTTATTACATCAAAAAAAAAAAAATCAATAATCGTATGTGAAACTTGCCAAATCAACGGCAAAGCCGAATATCCATGAGGCCAAGGTAATTTTCTGTATTTCGTGCGATCAAAAGTCTGTACTTTATTAAAAGCTTCTAAAACCAGGTGAAAACATTAAAATGCTAACGACAACAACTCATCAAACTGAAGTGAGCGACTGCCGAAAAACGTCCGGAATTTGAGGACTTGACTAGAGGCGATGTTGCAAGGGCTCTGTTGCAAGAAGAATTAAAAACAGAGGTTGGGAAGTTTTGACTAATTCGAATTATAACCCAGACCTTGCTCCCTCTGACTACCTTTTGTTGCGGTCAATGTGGAACACTCTCACTAAAATACGTTTCACATCTTCTTCTTYTTTATTGGTGTAGACACAGCCGAGTTAGCAACAGCTCACCAGTCGTTATTCCTTTTCGCTGTTTTCTAGAAATTGGCGATTCCAACTGAGTAAAGGACCATACATTTTCCGCAGAACATTTCTTTCGAAAACTCGTAACATTGAATCRTCAGATGTTGTAATTGTCCATGGCTGCGCACTATATAGCAGTACGGGATGAATGAGGGATTTATAAAGCATGATCTTTGTTTGTCGAGAGAGGACTTTACTTCTCAATTGCCTACTGAGTCCAAAGCAGCACCTGTTGGCAAGAGTTATTCTGCGTTGAATTTCGAGGCTGACATTGTTGTTGCTGTTAATACTGGTTCCAAGATAGACGAAATTATATACGACTTCGAAGTTATGACTGTCAACAGTGACGTGAGAGCCTAGTCGCGAGTSCGACGACTGTTTGTTTAATGACAGGAGATATTTCGTCTTGTCCTCGTTCACTAAGTAAAAAACTCTMTGAGTAAAGGTAATAGTTTTTAAATCCGAAAATATATCAAAATCAGCAAACATTTCACCAACCCTTTTGCAACTTAAGAACCCTTTTAGATTGAGTCGACATTGCGTATGAGTAATAACTTGGTACACCAGCACCTATTACTAGAATTTTAACAGTAAAGCGAAAAAGTGCGAAGAGAAGACCGTTATTCATTTGAATGAGCACGTGTGAGGAAAAAGCTTGCGTTGTAGATCTCACCCGCGAGTCATGCAAAATCCTCAAATTTATTTATTTATTCATAAATTGTGCRCGGGTAAATTGCTGTGCACATTAGCAGACACATTCACACACACTAACCCATCTATATATACGAGTATGTAGATATGCATCCACATACATGCTTTCATTGCATAACATATCACCACACAGGCACATTGGAACACTTTAATATCCTGTTAACGTATTCGCCATTTCACCGATTGGTATGCATCCATATTCCGTTTTTCTGTTATTTTGCAGTTTTTGATTTCGAGGGTGAAGCATAAATGGCGCCACATCTGCGAATGTGGCATGAAAATGTGCTAATTTGTGTAAATGTATGAGCTTGGCCTGTGGTTGCAAGCAGAATTTGGTCTATTTTGCTGGAGCAGTCGAAATTGTAATTTCCTTGTAAAACCACAAATAACGAAATAACACTTTGCAATTGCGAATACATTCAAAAATACCTAAATTTTTTAGAAAAGTTTTATGTTTTTTTGTTTTGTTATGACTGCKTAGGTTAGGGTAGGTTTGTTTAGGCAAGGTTGATCCAAAATGGATGGATCGCGTTTGTACAGATATTTGGCCTTTGCGTTACCCAAAAACTCTTTAAAGTGCATAACCTGGCAGCGGGCAACAGGAATGCACCACGCCAAGTTACTACTGGAAGGTTACAACTTAGCAATGTTTAGAGATATAATATATATATATTAGATCTCAT